AAAAAAAACTAACAAACAACCAGGGGGAAAAAAGCAATGTTTTTTGATGGAAGTCTGCTGATACGGGTGAGCACACGTGGATAGCAGTGCTGCATCCTCTGAGGGGTCCTTGGGAACCAGGGCTGGGGATGCAGGGGGTGACTTTCTGATGCAAGCACAGCCAGGATGATGGGAACTATACGTCCTTCACCATAACCCAGGGGCAGAGTGACACCGAGCCCCCACGTGTGATGGTTTTTCTTAAGACAAAGCAGGCTGTGAGACACTGAGGCCAGGCAAATGCGGGCTCTTGCCATGCAGCTTTGCAATAGATGGAGAGCAAGCTGAGCGCAGACACGGCTGGGAAAAATAATGCAATGTGGGACTGCCTGACTCCCAACCACAGCCCCATTAGGAGCCGCCGCTGTGGCCTGGGCCATATTAAAAATGTGCTGCCAGAGCTCAGCTACCTGCACAAGAGGCAGGCTGCTTTGTTTACCCAGACCAAAGCAACTCTACCGGTGCAGACACTTCTCTGGGGATATATCTGCATCTCTATTTTGGCCGAAACAAATGGTGTCAGCAAATAAAGCTTTCCCAAGCCCTTATTCCTTGGAGTTGTTCTGACATGGGCACCAGGAGTAAACCAGCCCAGTGGCTTTAAGAGGAGAAAAGAAAGTAGTGGGGAGAAATTGGGTTGGTTGAGTCCGGCACCTGGAACCCAATGGGTTTTGCTGTGCTCTACGTGCCCGAGCTCTGCGGAGGCTGCAGGAAGCTGAGAAGGTGTAGATGTTAGGAGCAGGGGGTGGTTCTGCTGCAGGGGAGTGCTGTGCAGACCCTGCTTGGGGGGAGCAATGTGGGTTTCAGCCTCCCAAGCTGCTCGGCACACAGATCCCCCTTTGCAGCAATGGGAATAACTCCCTACTACCTGCTCTGGGCTCTGCCACGTGCAAACAGCCGGGCTCAGCTTTGTCTCCCTCCCTGTAAATCCACTGTTGGAAGCTCGGGCCCCTCGGTGGGCGATTTGGGGGAGGGAGGCTCAGCGTGCACCCTGCACCACGCAGCTCCCAGCCAAATCCACCCCGGGAGCGATGCCACGGGCTCTGACAGAGGGCACGGTATCAATGTGGGGAATCTTTTCATGAAGAAAGAGTCGCCCACAAGTTCAGCAGCTGGGCAGATAGGAGCCTGGGGGGGGGTGCAGCCCCGGGAGATGCTGCACACCGGGCCAGCGCAGGTGCTCAGACCCCACTGCACTGCCAGCCTCCCGCTGCCTCTCCCAGTGGTGTGGAGGCTCCCAGCTCAGCTGCACGTGGCCCCTGCCTCCAGCACTCCATCCCACAGCAGGGGCTGTCAGGACCCAGTTCACAGCCCCACATGCCCAAGGATGGTCCCTCCTGTCTTCGCAGGGGCTCCTCAGGATGGGAGCAGCAGCCAAACCCGAGGTGCAGGGCGAGCCTGAGCTCCTGGCAGCATTGAGGTGTTTGGCACCCATTGCTCTGCTCCCAGCGAGGGCTGCCTGGAGACGTGGAGCTTCCAGGCTGCACCGCTGTGTCAAACCCCCTGGGAGCAGCGCTTGCTCCTTCTGCGTATCGCCCTTCATTCATTCCCTGTTCTCCCCATCCCATCAGGAGTCGCCCCATCCTCCTGCAGCTCTCTGCTCATTCATTTCTCCCTCCTTTTCCTTCTTCGTCATTCCCTTTTCTCCTTGTAGCCCCCCTCCCTCTCAGTCACACATCCTTCCTGCAGCCCTCTGACTTCACCCCTCTCACTGCTCCCAGCTTTACCCCAATGACACCAGACCTGGGGCTCAGGCACTGCCTGCCCAGTTTCCAGCTGCCCCAATGCCTTTCTCTCTGCTCTGCTCTGCAGCCCACGTTGGTGCCAGCAGTACGAGCAGCACTTCCACACTGCGCACCCTAAAAAGGGTCAAGGCAGCATCCATCCCTGAATGCCAGCTGCGATCGCTGACTCCAACAGGAGAGGAGAGAAGAGGAGGTCGAGGAGGGGGAAAAGCCATAGGAATCGCAGCAACCCCATTTCCTGCAGCCCGATCCTTCCTGCCGCGCTCGTTTACCTGCGTGCACGGACTCCAGGTTCACCATCCTGCTGGCGGGGGGAAACCCGCGGTGCGCCCAGCCTCCTGCCGTCAGCCCCAGGTTGCCAGGGGCTGCCAGTTTGCCCTCCCTCCTCTGCCACCCGCTGCTGCCTCTCGAACCGGGCGCGGGTCCGCTCCCGACGGGACCTACAGCTCCATTGCCTGTTGCCATGCAGGGCCAGGTGAGCATGCGGCTCCACGCCACGCCTCGCCCCACCTCCGGCTCCCTCGGGTGCCCTGACACCCAGCAGCCTGGCGCCCGGCCCATGCAAAAGCACCATTTGCATATTAGTAACCGGGGAATGGATGAGTCCCTGCAGGGCTACCAGGGTGTGGGGTGGGGTGGGAAGGAGGCGGATCGCTCGCCCGCGCCGCCTCGATGAGCCCCGCAGCACCTGCGAGCGGGCCTGGCTGCTGCCCCGCGTAGCCTCGTGCTGCGGGGAGGCTGCGGGCATCGCGAGGGGTCGAGGCACGAGGTGGCACTCAGAGGGAAGCGGCGCTTTGTGGTGGTTGTGTTGGGCCGCTTGCATGGGGCTGAGCACTGGGGGATCCGTGGAAGCACTCGGCGTGGGACGGAGCTGTGCTGCATGCAGCTAGCTCTTCCCAAGCTGTTCTCCCTGCCACGAGGCTCGAGGAGAGGGAAGCAGGGCCTCCTCCTCCCCACCGTGTCACGTCAGGCTCCAGGATTCCAGGGAAGCCAGGGAGAAAATCCCCTAGCTGCAGGCAGGCTGGCGCTCCATCCCATGACAGCACCAGCGTCGCCCTGACCTGCTCAAACCATTCTATGATTCTATACCTGTTGTCTCTGTTTGCCCCCTGCACTGCCCCGATGCCTCCTGCCTTGCTTAGGGGTGTACAAACCTCCCAATCTCCTGCTCAGCCCCTTCCTGAAAGCGTTAACAGGCTTTATCCATCAGAGCTGCCAGGTACAAGCTATCACACATCCATCTCTCCCTGCCTCGTGCACGTTCCAGGGCTCTTGGCTTTCCCACATGCTGCTCTCCCTCCCTGGAAAGACAGGTTTCTCCCAAGGGATGGGTGGGTGGTGGGCAGGCTCTCCAGGCTTCACCTCCACCCCAGTGTGAGGCTAAGGGGCTGGAGAACCTCACCTTCATCCCAACTGTGGGGGGCTCTGGGGCTGGAGCGTGAGGGGACACCCATGGGAGAGGGCTGCAAGGATGTGCTTCAAAATTAAAAGAAGATGAGGAAAGCAAGAATAAAAATGGAGAGAGGAGGTTCCCAGGTTGGCGGGATGGAGGGACTGAAGGGAGATGGCTGTGGGCTGTTTTCACTGCTGCTCCAGGAAGCAGGAGCCGACACAGGTAGACTGTGCAGGACTTCTTCTCCTGGCCTTCTGCCACAGCTCTGTGGCACAGCCCCAGCTCAGCTGGACCCGTGGGCTCTCCTGGGCACTGCTGGGCTGCTTGTGAGTGGCATCAGCGTGACCCCCACACCTGGGATTTCCCCATGTCGAAGCCTGATGCGATCAGGTGTCCGCACTGCGTCAGACGTGGCTTTGGAGGTGGCGCTCAGCCAGCTGGAAGGGGTGCAGAGAAAGAGCTCCTGAAAGGCTGAGGGTCACCAACACTCTCTTTTTCCCCATCTCAAGCACTCAAACACATTCCTTTGATGCTCTTTCTATTTTTCCCTTTGCTCCCCAATGCTTCCCCCTTGCTCCAGAGCAGGGCAGCCCATCCTTATCCCCCGGGTGTCCCGCACGGCCGCACCGCTGACACCGCACACCCCCAACCCGGGATGCTGGCCCGGCCATAGGCGGCCCCGCAGTGCCCTCTCCTGGTCCCAGCTGCTAGGCTCTGCTTTTTTTCTGGTTCTTATTCTGCGGTAGGTGGGACAGCGAGAAGGAAAGAAATCGTGTTTTTCTCCTCAGAAGCCCCTCACCTGGAGACCACTGCCAGGAAAGTATGTGACCTCGTGTTTAAGTCACCTGAAGCCGCCCTGAGATGTACAGACAGACAAGAAAGGAGAGCTGCAGCCCTAAGAACAGCTTTCCCAGGCAAAGGCAGATTTGCTTTGACTCCATCCTGAGACAATCCCTCCTGGATGCCCGCAGATACGCTGCTGACAGAAATCAGCTGCACTTCTATTCCTTTCTTTTCTCCCCGTGAGCATCAATCAGGACCCACTGCCTCCCATCCTCTCCACTTGCACACAGCCCACTCGTGCTCCCTCTCGGTGGGAGGGGAGCTCTGCAGACAGCACGGTCTGGGGACGGGGCTGCAAGCACAGGCTGTGGAAAGATGTTACAAAATCCCCCACGGCTTCTCCTATAGCTTTGAGGATTTATGTCAGAGCTCCCAGCCAGCTTGAGCCGCCTGTGTGCCAGGATCTGAGCCCAGCAAGGACGAGCAGGAACCCGTGTAACGCTGAGCACGTCAGCGGGGGAAAAACAGCTCCAGCCTCCTTAGAAATCATGGGGAGATGCTTCGGTTGCTCAAGTGCAGAAGGGCTGAGGCTGCGCAAACTCTGCCTCCGCCTGCACCACGCTAGGGGGAATCAGCACTCCACGCTTCTCCTGCGAGCAGCACGAGCTGCGAGCCGCCCCAAAACGCCGTCCTCCTTTCACCTCTGCTGCAGAGGGATGGATAAAAGGGGACCCCCATCCCTCCCCCGGGGCTGCTGGGCACAGACCCACATTCATACGCTCCTGTGGGGGAGAGGAGCAGACCCCAGCCTCCCGAACCCCATGATCCCATTGCTGCCCCTGGGCTCTGCTACATGCCCAGAGCTCAGGCTCGAAATTACAGAAGGAGCTGCAGGATCACATTGACGACCCTCCCCCCAAAATCCTCAATGCTCACAGTGCAGGCTTGACACAAAAGCCCTCAAGTCAAGATTCCAAACAGACAGGTGACACTGAGGTTACAACAGAGCTTTTCAGACCAGGGATGCTTCAAAAAAAAAAAAAAAAAATAAAATCAGTTTATTGTACCTTACAAATGATAAATAATCGGATTGCTTTTCTCTTTAAAACAAAAAAATCATTCAAGTGTATCTTACTTCATGTTGCAGTATTAAAATACCTTTCCCTTCTCTCCCTCCCCTCCCCTTTAAGTAATCAATACAAAAATAATTGTGACCAATTTTTTTTTTTGCTTTTTTTCTTTTTTTTTGTCAAAAAAAAATCCTGGATTTTAGGCAAAAAGGCACACGATCAAAGGCTTCTCACCAGGAGGCACGGGGCTTCCCTATAGCCCCAAGAGCCCCTGTCTTCTCCCTGCTTGTTCTGAGTCGAGTGGAAGAACTCACAGCGCTCTGCAGCACTTTATGTCCAATGCCCTCCAGGTGTATGGTTGGCTCTGGCACCATCCATGCTCACACACAGGGCAAACCAAGGCACAGCAAAGCAGCACGGGCTGCCTAAGAGCTCCTTGTGAAGTAGGATGCAAGGCTGGGCGTAGATGCAGAATGTTGTTTTCCCCTGTCTGAAATGCCCATCTGGGATCACCCCTGCCTTATAGTGCACTGTTAGGATGGCAGTCACACATTTCTGGATGTTTCTTGCTCAGTGGGTGAGGCACGGAACCAACACAAAAAGTTGGGCCTTCACTAGTCTAAGTGGGGGTGAGTTAGAGCCCTCATTACCAGCCCTTTGGGGTGGAAATAATTGCTGGGATACATCCCCCCATAGCACCTCATAGCCACAGGAAGGACATGGCAGGCGGTTGGATGCTAGGAAAGCTACAGGTAGGCTTTGGGTGGGCTTCATACCTTCCTTATTCAGGGTTTGTGGTCCCATAACTCAGCTGTTTTCCCATTGGGAAATGCTGTCACATCACCAGGAGGTGGCAAAGTCAGCAAAGGGCTGAAATGTTGGACAATCCAGCTCTGTGGGATGGCTTCTCCCCCTGCCCCAAAGCAGCCGTGGTGCTCGCAACTGACCCCTTCACACCTCCAGAGCAGGGCAAGGCACAGCCCTCCTGCTGCTTCAGGCCAGCAAGCCGTGCAGGACAGCATCACCTGCTGATCACAGCACGAGGCAGCATCAGGATGGGGGCACAGGGGGCCAAAAGAAAGGCACGTTCACAGAGCTCTCCTGGCACAAGGCATCGCTGCAAACCAAATTCCTTCTTCAGAGCAGCCAGCTCCAGGAGGCCCTCAGCACTGCAAGCAGGAGGGCAGACGAGCCACTCCTTGACGAGGCCTGGCCCAGCTCTGCTAGGTCTCCTCATCCCAGAGACAGAGCTGCTTCTGCGGCACGTAGTAATCAAAGGTGTAGCCCTTCTGGCAGCTGCGGATGCCGCATTTGTAGGAAGAAACCTTGCCTGCAGCATCACGACTCTTGCAGTACTTGAGCATGCACGGGTACCACTCGATGCTCAGCGAGTAGCTGCAGATGCACGGCTTCCAGCGGTCCGTGCACAGCTTGCAGCGCTGCAGGTCGGGCAGGTCAGATGTCTGTGGCAGGACCTCGAACATGGAGCCGTCCATCCCTGCAGGTCAAAGCAGGAGAAGTGCTCAGGGCACTCATGGCACCAACCCGAAGGTGGAGGAGGAGATTGAGGGCAGAGAGGGTGGCGTCGGGGGGTGTTCAATATGGGTGTGGGATGGGAAGCATGGGAGGAGAACGGGCAGTAGGGAGAACAAGGCAAAAGACATAAAGAATGTAAAGAATGCTTCTCTTTTGGGTGATGGACCAGGCAACACCTAATTAGGTTCACGAGGAGAGCAGCACTACAGCAGATACATGCTGAAGAACAGAAGAGTACAGCGTGGTGTGCACACACCACAACCATGCAACAGCAAACGAGAGCTGAAGCATTCCATGCCAACCACTGGCATCAGAGAGCACAACACCGTGCCAGCTCAGTGATGGGACCACTTCCAGCCCCAGCAAAGGAAACTTTTACCTTTCTCCAGCCAAAATTTGACATCTTCTTCTCGGGTATAAATTGCTTCTTTGGCCTCTGCGCAGACGTTGTGGATGTGAGAGCTCAGCTGGGCCCCTTTGCTGAAGTTGACAGCTACGTCCATGCTGAGATGCTCCAGGCCCCGCACCTCCTCTGCCTGCCGCACCGTCCTGGGGTTCTTCTGCAACGGATGAGATCAGAACAACCTGAATCCTGGCTGCAGGAAACGATCCCTTGCAGCGTGGCAGAACTTCATGCCAACTTAGGAAAAAGTGCAAATGGATGCTCCCCTGTGAGTGCACCTGCATCCCATCTGGGATCTCCTCAAATAAAGGCACTTAGTGATGTTGAAACTGACGATAGTTTATTACTGCTTTGAGTCACCTGTGAACATTTATCAGTGCTCTGTTGTGATGGATGCTCCCAAATCAGCAATTAATTCAGTGGATAATGTTGGGCAGAGGTTTTTGTGGTGACAGCTCCAGGCAATCGCTCACCCTTTGACACTGCCCAAATTACATCAGGCCTCTGGTTGGCTTTTTTAGTAGACCGGGATCGATGCTATGAACGACATTAGTTTAATACTGAGCCCCTTAGGCAGGATGGGAGGTCAAAGGTGGGTCTAACAGAGCCCAGCCATGGGGCAGCTGCATGGGAAGCCCTAAGCAACCCAGGATGGACCCCCAGAGGTGGGGGTTGGCTCCTACCTGTCGTAGCTTGGCCATGGACTCACTGGGGATGATCTCGTTGCGGTGGAGCCGTGTGACAAAGCAGAGTGCTTGGAACTGGCTCTGGCCCCTCTCCAGCTCCCCCAGGATTAAGGCACGGAAGATTTTCACCTCCTGACAAAGAGAGAATTGGAGGAAAAAAAAAGAATCACGGAGTGGGGTCAGAGGCCTTTGGCACATAATGGGTGAAGGCAGGATCTTGCAGAAAGTGCCAGCCCAAAGAACAGAGTCAAAGGTCTCATACTTCTGCTACCTGAGCTCAGGTGTCTGCTCCCAGCTTCCATCCCACCCAGGCCTGCAGTGCAGTAACAGTGTCTAAAGAAGTAATGGCTTGTTTGTCCCAGCATAGCAGGACAGGCTGCTCCCAGCTCCCACCCCACATCCCTGCGCCCTCAGGCAACAGCTGGGGCTCATCCTTCAACAAGCAAGGAGCTCATTCTGTCCCAGCAGGAGATGCTCACCTTCAAACCCACCCCTTGAGGCTCTCCCATTACAGGCAGAGGCAGCCACATGCCCACACTCCGCTCCAAGCTGTTTCCTTCACCCTTCAGCCTGGAAAAGCCTCATGTTGTCTCCACGTCCCTCCAGGAGAAAAGCCACTGACCTCAAGTAAAACAGCACCAAATGCCACCACGAAGGTTTCACTTCACCAGGCTGCAATAGCCTCAGGAGAACAAGTTTAAAGGGGAAAAGTGCCTCCTAGTGTTTCATTTTCAAGCGTGTAAAGGAATAAACCATGTTAATGCAGCAGCTGAAGCACACAGACCCCCCGAAGCCACACAGGCGGTGTTAAACAAGTTCATTGCTGCTGTTAGTTTCTGTAATGTGGTCTGTCCTGCTCAGGGCCCCAGTGTGTGACCAGAAGGCAAGAGGAAGGGACGAGAGGAAGCACATCATGTGCAGGAAGGCATGAGGGTGAGGGTGGAATGGGTGAGAGGAGGAGACACGCTCAGTCCCAACACTGCACTGTACAACAGCACTACTGGGACTGGAGGATCTTTTTCCAAGCAACAGCCTGACAGGGACCAAAAAGTTCCAAAACTGCATCCCAGTCCATGTTCTGTATCAAGAGAGGCCCATTTTTTCCCTCCAAGCTACAAACTTCATGAGTTGTAACCAAAGCCCTCTGGAAGCAGCTGGTCACAGCTCCCATCTGCCATCAACTAATAATAAATATATCCCAGGTCTTTGGTACAGCAAAGGTCCTCATTTGGCCAATAAAGTAATAACAAGCTGGGATCAAGCATGGTCAAAACCTGCACCAGCTTTTGTTCAGCAAATATCACACAGTCATCACCTCCACGCATCACTCCGGATGAGCGGTCCCAACTTCAGAGAACAAATTACTCATTTCTGGAGCCAACAGCACGTGGAACAGGAATGAAAGTCATGAATTGTTAAAGCCAGAAGGAATCCATTACGATCAGCTGCAGCTGACCTTCGGTCAATAGTTTTGGCATCTCACATACATGGCTATGCCAAAGTGCTGCCTTCTGGCCCCTGGGCTGTGCCTGCTGGATGGCCATCAGGTCACGTTCTTCCAGCCCTCCTGCCCAAGAGGAAGGGAGCATATCTGTCCCCTCCAAGGTTTTCTCCACACCAGGTCATGCAGGCCAGCATTTTCTGCCTTCCCTGCCCAGACAACACAATTCAGCACACATCCCAAAGCGCTGCCATCAGCACTGCGCTTCCCGCCCCAGGACAGGGGAACGGATGTTGCTGGATGCATCTGTTGTGCTGAAAACTCAGTGCAAAAGCAGGAATCAAAGGGGATTTGGAAAGAAAGAGATACCGATTGCTTCTGCCCACAAACACCAGGCTGTTTTAATCACTGCCTTTAGTGCTCCTGGGTGACTGACACCTCTGTGCAGACATGGGAAACATCTGAGAGCGCGGCGTAGCCTGGGAGGCAGCAGCAGAACTCAAAGCTGCTGTGTTCTCCAGGGTCTTACAACAGCATCTGAAGGCATTTCATTTAAGTACAACAAAAATAAAATAAAATAAAATCTAAAGGAAAGCAAAAAATGCCATGAAAAAAAGATAAGTTGGGCTTGTTTAAGTGGCTGGGGTTACGGCTGAAGCAGTGCAATGGGAGAATGAGAAGAGAGCAAAACATCCGAAACTTGACGCTGACCCAAGAAAAACCCAAACTGAAACACTCATGGAAATGCACACGAGATTGCTGCTGAGTCAGAACTTTTTGACAGCTTTAATGGGGACAATCCCCCCTGAGACAGTGGCACTGCAGAAGGAGCCCCATCGCTGCATCTGGTCCAGCTGTGCTTCTCTGCTACAAAGCACGGCCAGTGCCTGAGCCTGGCATCTCTTCTTCACCTATGGATTTAGTCTGACTTCACTTTGCACCATCAGCATTGGGTCTGGAAATAGCAGACAGGAACAGGTATGCTCTGCATTAGGTCTGGAAACCTCAAATGGATGCAGGAGATGAATGACAGTGCAGGACTTCCCAGCCTGGGGGTGATTTTTGCAAAATGGGAGGATGCTGAGAAACAGAGGTCCAGGTAACCCTGCAAAAATTCTTGGTAAGGGTTGGGAGGATGGAGAGAAAAGCACAGAAAAGTGGTTCTGCAGTGAGGGTAAGCTGGAGGAGAGATGAGAGAAGGGGAAAGACAGCAAAGACCAACGGGAACTTGAGAGGCAGGAGGGGAAGCGGATGCTGACCCATCCTTTCCTCCACCCCAGGTTCTCCTTTCCCAGCTCATCTCCTCCCATCTCTTCCCGTGCCCCTGGGCTCCCCACCTCCCATCACAGCCCCTTGTGCTGAATCAGAGCCTCTGCGCCCGGCTGCCCACGTACATCAAACAGCAAAGGCAGATTCTTATCTCAACCAAACCTTCCACCAGCCCTGCTGACGCTGCTGCGGTCAAAGCCTTCAACCCACAGAGACCCCGGGGAGGGGACGTGCCTCTGGTGTCCCCGGGGTGCTGGCCATTTCCATCCTGCAGTGGCTCAGCTCAGAGAGTTCCTTGGAAATACCTCAACCCAACAAGAGCTCTTTAGGTTGCTCTCCCTGCCCTTGCTCTGATAAAGCAAGAAGTTCGTCACACCAAAAATATGCCACGCTTTTCACATGAAAAGAGCCACCAAAGGGTTTCCTGCTCCCAGAGAGCCCTTCCCTCCCCAGGCACCTCACCTCGTTCCCACCAGGAAGAGCAGGAGAAATCAGTGCCAAGGTCGGTAGCCAGCCAAGGCAACCCAGTGCACCTTGAATTCTGGGTTTCTGCAAAATTTCCCAGCAGGGAACAAGCCCCGACAGAGCATTGCCTCTGCAACGCAGGGACTCTCCAGATGAACTCATCACGGGGGCGTTGAGAATGGTTGGCCCCAACCCGGCTACAGTTACAGCTATTGTTTGGCTTTGGACAGGACGGTGGTGCAGCAGGGAACAACCAGTTCTGCAGCTGCAGCATTGGGGGAACCGCAGCCTGGCAGGGCATGGGGAGAGCAGCTCCTCATCCCTAAAGGAGACAGAAAAGCTGCACAGCCAGTTCCCTGCATGCATGGAAAAGCAACTTCCAGCAAAGAGTTAGACTGCGTAGAAGTGCAAAGAAATCACACAGCTTCCTCCCTCGCAGCGCTGACCCCCACCAGCTCCTCCAGGGGCTGCCATCTGGGGTGTGGGAACAATCCCACCTCCATTTCCAGGCTGGATCCTGCAGAGACATACGAGCCTGTGTGGTCCAGATCAGAGCCCGGCGTCTCGGCTTCACGTGGAGTGGAGCAAACCAGTTCTCAGGGAAATAAATTATTTCAGTGCTTTCCTCCCCCCGAACCATTCAGCGTTCCTGCCAAACTTCTCTCCCCCAGGGACATCAGCGCTGCTGAGGGATCTGGTTTTGTCTACGCAGGGTGGGGGGCACAGGCATAGGGAAGCTGTTGCTGGGGCACCGGGAACCCCCAGCCCCACATCCCCCCCATTGCCAGCAGTCTCTGCTGTGGTTGTGGCCCTGCCTGCAGAGCCCCGGGGAACTGCTAGAGCTGGCCAGAAAGTTGTTGTGCTTGTAAAGCACAGCTCTGCAGAGCGTGTGTTATTGCAGCCACGCTGGGGGGGCAGCCAGCTGAGTGACTCTGGTTAAGAGAGGATTATGGTTTAACCCCTCTTCTACCAGAAGGCACTTTGGTGATCCACCCTAAAAGCTGACTTTTCCAGCTCTGCGCCCTGAATTCCAGGAGCATCCTCCAGTTCTGCATCCTCACGCTTGGCACTGCCATGTGAGGGCTGCCCAAAGGCAGCTCGCTCTCCGAAGCCACTTCAGAAGCCAGATCCTGCCCCAGCAGCGATATGCCTGGGGCTGTGCAGGAGCAAAGGGCAGAGCTCCTCCTGCAGCCACTGCATGCAGCACAGCCACTTCCCTGCACTCAGCCATCAGCTCCACCAAATGAGGATTCTCAGCCACCTCATTACACCCCAGCATGTTTGGCTCTCACCCCACATCGCTCCATCCCTCCCAGTGAGAGTTAGAAAGACCCCTGCTTATCTAACAGCAGGCATCGGCAGCATCTGTCCCAGTGGGGAACAGTGAATACACTCAGTGAGCTCTCCTAGGAAAACAGAGGAATTTGGAGGTTCCTGGTCCATCCTGCCTGCTAACCAACTCCTATGAGTAGCCAACAGCAGGTATTTCAGATGAGAGTGAAGCACAGCAACAGAGCTGGGTGATTCTTTCTAACTCATCCCATATAACTAGAGCACGTTCATCCTACCCATGGTCTAACTTTCCTTATATACATATATTTGGTATCTGTACAGAGGGCAAGAGGCAGCTTTCCACATTTTACAGATGCCATCTCTGTATGGATGCTTTCCTACATCCCCTGGTCCTTTAGCACCTAACAGGATGGGCTTCAACTTTAGTAACAAAGGAACCCAAAAGGACCAGCAGCAAAAGGGTTACAACACCAACAGCCATGCTTTCCCCCTTGTGTTTCCAGCACCATTTTTCCAGCAATCAGAAGGAAAAAGAAACTTCTCCATATCTCTGTGCTGACCTTGGGCTAGAACCACCCACTTTGCTCTCAGGCCACTGTTTAACAGCTGGCACAGTCATGTTTTTGAAATCAGACACAACATTTCGAGTTGCTGTCTCCCCTCCATCCTTTCTGCAATAAATTTTGCGCCTTACAGCACAAAAAGTTGGCGAAGAACCGTTCTCATCACATCCTTCCAAACTGCCAGAAAAGAAATGGGTTTTTGCTATTGCACATTCAGTCTCAGGTTGGGGTCCCACTGAGCAGTGCCTAAAGGAACGAGGAGAACGCCGTGGTTTGCTCTGAGGACACGACTCCTCCAGGTTCAGCTTTGAAAGGGTGGAATAGAAAGGCTAAGGCCCATCTGTGGAGCACTGCTCCAGCCCCATTTGGCTTCCAGCAGAGCAAAGAGCTGAGCCATGATCTCACTGCTCCTTTCTTGTCCAGCCCATGGTCTAACAGCAATTATTTGTCAGCAAAAGAAAAAAAAATAAGAAAGAAAGATGTGCCTTTGGACTGCTCCTCTACTGTTTAAGCCAGAGAAGTGGAAAAGCATTTGTGGAGAAACCCAGCAACCCAACCACAGCACGACCCCACAATCCAGCTTGGGAAACCTGGCTTTACAATCCCAGCTGCCTTCACAGACAGCCTGCAGACCTTCCCTCCAGAGAGGAGAAGTTGTATCACGCTGGAGGGATGAGCACCAGCACAGAATAGGGAAATGCCTGCGTGCAGCCAGGGGAACAGGTCAGCAGGGGATGCCTGGCCAGGCAGCTGCTTGCTCACATCATTACTCACTGCTCCACACATTCATCTCCTCCACGTCTTGTTGGCTTTCTTCAGCTTTGCTCCAACAGCCTGTCCCTTGCTGTTCTAAAGCTGAAGGTTGAGAACAGGCTGCACCAGGGCTGCTGCTTGCAAAGCTTCCAGGGAGCACTGCCTGTGCATCTCCACCAGGAGCCAAAGGCATGGATGGAGCTAAGGACTTAATGGCACAGATACCTTCAGAGAAAATCTCAGCAATAAGCAGGGTGAGAGCAGGAGAAGAGTCAACACGCACCCCATTGGGTTTGTAGGTGAGATTTGAGGGCAAGACCCTGCATGTGAAGTGAAAAGAGCTGGAAGGGTCAACAGCTCAGGACATCAGAGCTCCCCGTGTCACATCCCAGACCCCCAAAGGACCGACCTAAAGCTCTGTGCAGAGTTTGGAATTCCCTCAGCCAGGAATGCGCTGTGGTATGCAGTTCTACAATCTGGAGGCTTAAAAGCCCTCCTGGTGTGCCATGTTTTCTTGTAATTTATTTTCCCCCCCCCCACAAGAGCCATAGGACTGTTTCCTTGCATGTGTGCTGGTGTGCACGCTGTCCCAAGTCAGCATGGCTTCTACTGACATCTCCCGACTCTGCAGACAGCAAAAGATCATCAAAGGGACCAAAAAGGTCCACCAAAAAGGAAAAGAGGCACCAGGGGAGTCCCTGGGAGAAGGCTCCAAGGTTCTCAAGGGCTCAGAGCACCACTCCTGCCTACCTCCTGGCTTTGAGCTTCCTCTTGCTGCAAGACAAAGTCCACCAAAGCAAACAGTGTGAGCAGAGGGCTGGAACAAGATAACATCACGGTGCTACCTGGACAGCTGTGCCACTGACACGGTAGCACACAGCTCGTCCCTGGGCAATAGGAAATCCACTGCATTCAGCTTGTTAAGCTCTGCTGCGCTGGCTCTGAGGTTCTCATCTCCCGCTGAGAAGCGTGGGATCTGCAGCTTCAGCTCTGTGAGCATCACCTCCCTGCAGAGAGGCCACAGGGCCTGGGAGAGGGCTGGGAGGAGAGGGCTGGCAGTCCCAGGTTGTATGGGAAGCGCTTGGCTGGCAACAACACACACACACACGTGCTCTCAAAGACAGCAGCCATCCACCTGAGGAACCAGCCGCATCCCATATGTGGCATGGAGAGAGATGCCCTGGAGACATATGGAACATGCTCAGCCCATGCAGGAGCCACGGGCTGGAGCTCTCCCCATCACACAGACACTCTCCTGCCCTGACTGCTCCATGCCCCACTGCAGCTGCCAAAGCCGTGCATCTCTCAGCTCAAGCAGGGAGAAAAAGACCTGCTGCACTCAGCTGGGCACAGAGCAGATGTTGCTGCTCATCCCACTGCAAACTCACCACCTCCATTCCACACACAGGCAGCCCAGGCTACAAGTGGGACTGTCTGCAGGGCACAGAGCTGCACACGCAGAGGTGCTCCATGCAGGCTGCTAACAAAGACCCAGCAGTGCCTGCGGGTAGATGGAGGACCGTTCCTCCTGCATGCCCAGGAGCCCACATTTCTCAGAAGTGGTTACTGTAGAATGGTTTGAGTTGGAAGAGACCCTCAGAGGCCACTTGATGCAACTTCTCTGTAATTAACAGGGACACCCACAGCTCCAGTGGTGCCCAGAGCCCTGTTCAGCCCGACCTTGGCTGTCTGCAGGGATGGGGCACTACCACCTCTCTGAGCAGCTTGTGTCAGTGCCTCACTGCCTGCAAAGAACTTCTTCCTTATATCCAATCTAAACACTCCCTGTTGTAGTTTGAAACCATAACCCTCGTCCTAACAGATTTGCCTTCTGGACCCCCAGCCAGGCTTTACCAGGAGGAACAAAGTCACATCCCACAAAACTCAGCACCAGAGCCCCGATCCGAGCTAAACTCAACCAGGGCTAATAGTCCCAAGTGCAGCCCTCTGTCTCCCAGCTAAGAATCACCGCGGGCGGCAGAACGCACCGTGAGTCTTTCGCCACGATCGGACCAAGGGAGAAAACAGGCTTTCAGATCACGCCTTCCCCTCGGGGAGAGCAGAGCATCCCGAGAGCGCCTTCCCGGAGCACGGGGAGCGGGCAGATCCCCCCACCTCACCTGTCTGAAGTCGGCGGTGAGACCGATGAGCGCCCCGTCGGTTTTCCGCAGCTCCAGGCTGATGCAGTCGGAACCGCTGTCCGCTTGCAGGCTCTCCTCCGTCACCTGCCCGCCGGGCAGCCGCACCCGCACCCGCAGCTCAGCCCTGGCAGCGGGGCCGGGTAGCGGGGCTAAGGCGAGCCAGAGCAGGGCGGGCAGCGCCGGCAGCCGGGGGCCGCGCATCCCACCGCGCCTTCCCGGGGCTCAGCGCAGAGCCGCGCGGCCGCCGCCCCCGTCCCGCATCGGGCGGAGCGGTGCGGAGCGATCCCCGCTCCTCCGCAGCTCCCCTCGCCCCCCCCGCCCCCCGGCCGCACTTCCTCCCCCAGCGCGGAGAGCCGAGCCTCGGGCCCGCAGCACCGCCCCGCCGTTAAAGGGCCAGTGCGAGCCGCAGCTGCTCCCCAGCTGGGCTGCGGGGGGAGGAGAGAGGGAGGGGAAAAGGGGATTGAAAAAAGGCAGAGAGAAGCCCGAAGGCAAAGAAAGTAGCGCTGTCCCGAGCCCCGCTCCCTTCTGTCGAGAGGATGGAGAGGCATCTCCAGCAGCACCAGGGCAGCTGCCGGGCTCTCCTGTGCTTTTTTTTCCTTTCTTCATGTTTTCTCCTCCCTGACAAATAACTGAACACAAAGGAATGGGGAGGCCAGCACGAAAAGCAAAGCCCAGGGCAGCAGTTTGCACCGACGCACACAATTCAGAGTCCACTGAACACACGGTGGCTGTGAATCAAATAGTGTTGACGTGGCTGCTGAGGCTCTCCCTGCATCCAGGCAGCACGCCGGAGGTATTCCCACCCCGAGGATGCAATGCAAGGCACTTCAGCTCCTCTTCCCATCACTGGGTCACTCCAGGCTGCAGCCACGAGGCCCCAACTTGCCCTGCACCCGCTGCTGCAATCGCTTCCAGATGGGCAGATGCCGATGAAGGGCCCCTTTGATTTCCAAAGGTCACTCTGCAAATGCAAAGGTCACAGCAGCAGCAGGATTGGGGTCTGAGAGAAACAGCTTTGCGAGGAAAAGCACAGAAATAAATAGAAAGCGCTGCTTTAATCCACGCTTCCAGTTGCAGCCCTTGCATTGTCACAGCCTTGCTTTGAACAAACTGTGTCCTCAAAATACTTTTGAGGACAATAACGGTGCAAAGAAATCAGAGTCCAGAAGGAGAGAAAGTTAAGAGGTGCAAAGAGGGGAGAAAAGAAATGGTTCAGCTCAAACACAAAAAGAGAGGGGGGTTCTCAAAGTGGAACCGTGCAGCAAGGCAGCTCTCCTGGACAAAAGCTGCAAAGAAGGCCCCACTCCTGCTATTTCTTCAGAGGAGATTATGCAAAAAGACAGGAGGACCCCAGCAGGGGCTGGAAGGAAAAGCGTCGTGAGGTCAGCAGGCACAAATAACCCTTGGAACATGTCCAGTGTGAAGGGCTGTGCTCTGCTCAAACCTGGGAGCAGCTTCCCCATTGCACCAGGGTCACTTCGGGTCCAGCAGCGTGCAGCCCAGCACTGGAGTGTGGCACAGTCCTGCATCCATGCTGGAGGATAGCAGGGATGAGGATGCATCCATCCCTCCTCTGTGCAGCTGTGAGCTCCTGGCTGCAGGTTTCAGCAGTGCCTGCTGTGTACCTGGACCGCAGGGTGTGAGGGGGAATTCAGGGCTCTCCTTCCCTGTAAAGTTGGCGTGGAGTAAATAGGATCAATTTTCCTCCTGGTATCCTCCCAAAGCATGGGAAATGAGAAAAAGAGATCATCTCAGTAGGCTCCTTCCAGTGCCCAGCACCTTGCCAGCAATGCTGTGCTCCTGCAATGGGACTGAGGCACAAACAGACCCTGAACGTGACCTGGGAATGGAAGATCTGATCCCAGCACCTATGTGAATAGACAGAAAGCAGCCAAGGAGCACAGGAGAGAACAGCTTGCTGAGATTCACCATCAGCAGAGCAGGGTAAGGTGGCTGGAAATCAATGGCCATGAAAGGCAGCTGAGAGGATTAAGCACAGCTTAAAGACTGTGGGACAGGTCCTGATGGCCAAAGCAAGGCTTCATTGGTGTTGGCCTCTTCTGACTTTGCTGTTTGTACATCTGAAGGGCTGCCCACCATCCACAGTCTGTGTGCTGAGCTGTAGGAAGACGAAGCATGCCTGGCAGCTCAATGCTCCCACTGGGTTGCTTATAGTTTTACTGAATGTTAATGATCCGGGCCAAGAGTTTCTGGTATGTGTGCTGCAGCCTTTTTACTGGGAGGAAATTTCCATTAAAATGCCTCAGCCGTGCCTGCAAACTGGTTTAAGGAAAAATGTGCCGTTAAAAGAAAACATTCTCCATGCTCTGCTGGGATGATCCAACAGTGCTTGGGAGCAGAGGATTACAGTCTGACACAGCTTCACCTTGGGGCCTGGGATGCAGCTTTGGTCAGCCCCAACTGAGCAGCAAATCTTCATTCCCCCTTCCTCACCTCGAAACTTGAAGTTCAGCGTCATGTCAGCACCTTGGATAAGCAGGAAGGGATTTGTACCCACTCAGATCCAGGCTCAAACAGCTGTTGCTGCAAAGCTGAGAGCTTTAGCAAGAGAAAAAGAGAAGTTGAGAGCGTGAGAAGTCCTTCAGCATCCCACACAAGGCTCTGTGGGCAAGAGCCCTGCCTTTGCCACATGCAAATGCACCAGGCAAACAAAAATGTGCTGCCAGCCCATTTTCACCACTCACCACCCACTTGCTGTTGTGCACACGCTGTCAGGCTGGGCCAGGCATAAATACCTGCAGCATCTTCCCTTCATCCATTCCAGGAATACACCTGCCCTGTCCCTTGCCCTATGTTAGAAAACTCTTCCACCTTTCAATCCCAAAATCACACTCCACAGCCACCCGCTGCAGTTAGGATGCTTCTTGCCCTATCTCTGAGAAGGAGAATGAAGGCCACTTTTGCTTGCTGTTTCACCCCACTGTGAGTAATCAGTCAATACTCCAGAGCCCATTAGCATCTAAAGGTTTACCCTCCCATGGAGGAACAAGCAGTAATTATTACTACTTTCTCATCAACTTACAGTAAGCCTCTGCGGCCAGTTTTCTTATTACGAGCACGAAACCAAAGGATTTAACACACCACAGCAGCAGCACCAGCAATACATCAAAGAGCAGTGATGTTTGCTGTGAATGAGCTGCTTATTCTAAGAACCAACCCCAGGAGCTCAGCAGGGAGTTGGGCATCCAGAAGAGCAGCACCGTGCTGAGAAGTGCAGCCTCCATTTCCTTCCCATTTGGATGGTCCTGTTCCCCTCTCCCACCTGGTTGACTCACCTCAGCACAGCCTTGGCTTATCTGCCCACCCCTACTTAGGGATGCTCTGTCCCACCAAGCCTACTCCATACCCAGGGCTGCCTCTATATGTGACAATGCTGCCCTATTCACCCACTTGTCCCCTGTTCCAGGTGCTCAGTAGAATAGTGCAGCTCCTGGCTTGAACTTAAATGGAGCTGTAGGGCCAGTGGGAAGAGGGTGCTTGGGGCAAGGCCTGGGGAGGCTCGTTAGGGTAATTAGTGCCTGCTGGAGTGCTCAGAGCCAGCTGTTCTAAGTCCCCTCTGAGGCAGAGCTTAGATAGAGTCCCTTTTCTTCCAAGGGGATGCAGCAGGCTGTGTGTAATGAATTGGACATTGCTCCTGCGTGGTCAGGGCATGGAGGGAGATGGATGCAGCAGACATCAAAGCCTTGCATCCACCTGTCTTCTCAGTGCAACAGGTTTGAGGCTAGATTGCAGACCAGACCAGAGCAAAATGAGATCCTGATCTCACCCATGCTTGGAAAGCATGATATGCTTTGGAAAGGTGGCAGACAGGGGCTGGGCAGGCTTCCCCACGGTCCTGGGGCCACACACATCTCTGGGAGCTCCTCCAGCAGCACTCACAGTCCTGCAGAGCTTTCAGCAGGGCATACACTGCAGTTTGCCCATCTAGAACGCTGCAGAGCTCAGCAGGGCCCCTGGAAACATCCCGAGTGCTCAGTGCCCTGGGCAGGCTGCTCACCCAGCACATCCTGAGCCACGCAGCCTTAGGCTGGGCTGCTTGCCCGTGGCTTGCCAGGCTTTCCATCCCCTGCCCTGGCCCCATTGGGTTTATTTCCCTTGCTGGACTGCACACACAGAGCCAGGCAGATTTTCCTTCCAGCACTTTGGCTGGGTGCTTGCACAGCCTGAGATCAGGACGGCGGTGCAAGGGGAAGGACAAACAGACCTCAGTTGTGCTCTGAAAACACACCTTGTCCAGAACGGCCTCAGCAACATCAGTCTCCAAAATGAAAACCAACCAAGCACAAGTCTTTGCTGCCTCTTTCTCATCTTATTTTCACCACCATGAATTTCAGGTAGAAGTGGTATAACTGAGGTCAGGGATCAGGCCCAAATGTGCTGCCTTGATCTATTTAATCTCCCATCCTTTGTTTTCATTTTCATGCCAAACACCACTTTTAAACTACATGAAAGAATCATCAGTGCTTTTTGAAGTGTTCAATCAGGGCAGCTCTTTTTGGGGATGTGAACGCATAAAAATCAGCTTTTTCCCATTGATCCCAGCACCAGAGAACTAATAAGCCTCAGGGAGAGTTAATTAGTTTGGGTTTTGCCAGTCCTCCAAACTGTTGACTAAATCCCAGCTCTACCTGGGAATATTGCTGCAGACCTATGGCTTGGTCTGAAGCTCTGGGAAAGGATTTGCAGCTGCGGTGTTCGGCAGAGATCTTACAGTTACAGCAGTGCATCAGGCTCCGAGTCATTTGTCGTTAATTAGGAGTTGCTCAGCATCTCTTTGGAGCATTCCCCGCTGCCCCTGCTGAATGCCCTCCTTCTCTCAACAATTACATAAAGCAAGCTGCTGAATGCTGTTTAAAAACAGCTTTACTGTCTTAAAACAATGCCCAGCATCTATCTCTGACCTGCTTACCACGCTGCTCTGTGTCCAGGGCAATTAAAAGGGCGAGGAGCACAGCAGCCAGGCGTAATTAAATGAATGGGGCCCAGTGGCAGAGCATGGGGAGGGCAATGGAATGCTCAGACCTCTGCAGCCCATGCTGCGGATGCAGCCCCTCTTCCAGAGATGCTGATGGCCTAATTAGATGCACATTAATTGAGTTAGCCACTCGTTTGTGCAGCTGCAGGAAGGGCAGAGGATGGAGACGTGGCTAGTGGGGACGGGTTGGATTTGATGAGCTTAGTGATCAGTTCCAAAGGTTCTGTAATGGTTCTGTGGCCATTGTCACATCATTGGGCACACAGTAAGCATCAGGGTCTCACTGTGTTTTGGGCAAGGAGAGGGCCAGGAGGTTGGACTGGGTGAGAGCTCAAGGTGCATCCAGCCCTGCCCAACTGAGTGCTGATGGCTGGAGGGGTTCACAGGAATTCATTTCCATCAGCTAAAACTGAATTTACCCAGCCCACATCCTGCCCTTCAACAGAGCCCCAAATTGCCTCCAAGTGGGAAAGCAGCCGAGCATCCTGCTGTGAACACCTGAAACAACAGCCCTCAGGGAACACCCACTGACCCCTCTCAATCCCAGCTTAGCTTCCACCCCGAAGCACATGGATGTAGATCCCTTCCAGCTGATGTGATCAGAGCTGGGCAGGAGCACAAAGCCATGTCCTCTGTGGCTGTTGTTGGGAAGCACAGGCTATGTTCTGTAAGAGATCAGCTCCAACGAGGCTTCTTGATTATGGCACAGGGAAAAGCAAGCTTGGAGCCTCCATCACACAGCTGCACACTGCACAGGAAGGAATAGGAAGAGCATCGTGCTAACTGGACTCTTGTTGATCCAGCAGGTGAGATGATCTCCAATACATTCATGCTGGTGTTGGCTTGGAAGAGGTTAATTTATGGTAGAATAATCCTGTTGGAAATTCAGGGGAAAGAAAGCAAGCTGTGAGTTCTGGCTTTGTGTAACCTAGGCTGACCAAAGCCTAGATAAAGCAACACTGGTGTTGAGTGAAGCAATACCCTTTGAAAGAAAGAGGATGCGAATCTCCCGTGCAAGACAAGCCTGCTAAAAGAGAGATTATAAATCTAAGTGAAGCCCTCAAAGCCTAAAGAGATATAAATCTAATTAAAGCGATATAAATCTAACTGAAGAAATACACTGTAAATCCAGCCAAAATGATATCCATCTCAGGAAAGTAATGCAAATGCACCAGAAACACCATAAATAAAAATCCCAGCAGTGCAGAAGATGTAATGGAAGCCACGAGAAGCTTATGCCAAGCGATATAAATGCAACACAGTGATACAAAACTAATTAAAGCGAGGTGTAAAATGGACATTTGGAATAGAACCGTGGCCCACAGGAGGAGAATGGTCAGAGAGAGGGATGGGGATGGGATCAGGAGTGAGAAAACCACCTGCAGCTACAAAGAACAACCCCAGGTTAATGAGCTGCTGTGCCCTGGGGCGATCTGCAGTTGCAGACAGGGTCAGGAAAGCGACTCTGAGCTCGACTCTGAGTCACAATTGCTTCTGGCTCATGGGATGTGAATGGCAGATTGCAAAAGGGGAGAGCTGACACGGGGCAAAAATACAGACAGTGCTCATATGGACACACGGATCCCCCAGATATTTCATATTTGGGGGATGCCCCCCCCCCACTATCAGCAGTGAATACCTCAGCCCCATTTTGCTTCCTTTGATATCCATATTGGATGACCAAAGCTGTCCCAAATCTCTGCACACAGAGAGAGACAATGGTTGATGTTTCTCTCCTAAACTGAACAAAATCTGCTTGTTTGTTTCCACTTCCATCCACACTTTCACATAAAACAGATTCTTAAGGAGCTTTTTGGCTTTCATTTGAGTGAGTTAATAATTGACCTAATGTGACCACGAGGCAAATAAATAATAAGGCTGCTGCTTGCCTTCAAAAACAGCCAGATCTGCTCAAAATTCTCTCTTCTTATGCTAAAAGAAAGCTCTTTCCTATCATTCTGAATAATGAAATGTCCTCGGTTCAGCTTTACTGTTGAGCTTTTCCTTTTCAATCTCATTCCAAAGCAAAGCGCCATATGTTTTATGCTTAGGATTTCAAGATTTTCTCATGCTTGAAAGTCATTTGGCATTTGAGCATCTGCAGTGGTCTGAATTTCATTTTGTTCCAGACTAAAGGGAAATGTCTATTTTGTGCAAGCTTACTGAAAAGCAGCATCCCTCCACCCCAAGCCCCCAACCCCAGCAATCTAGGTTACAAATCAGCCTGGAGGGTAATGCAAATATTTTTCTTGCAGATTTAGCTGGAAACGTTTCCCATGCTTTCCTGGAACATTCTGCAAAATGAGGCAGTTTGCTGGACTGACAGCCCCACTGCATCAAATAGCATTAAAAACAAACAAACAAAAACACCCAAGCAACAGGTTAATCAAAAGCAATTCACTTCTCTACGGACAGATGCATTCTGTATCATCTCATCTCATGTAATTTCAAAGCTTGTTGAAAACAGTCTTTGCAGCAACGTAGCAAAGCCAAGTGTGTCGTAGAATCATAGAATCATTAAGGTTGGAGACTGCTCAGATTCCCAACCCATCCCACCTTGCCTACTGACCACATCCCCCAGTGCCACATATCCTGAACTCCTCCAGGGATGGTGACCCCCTCCCCTCCACCTCCCAGGGCAGTTGTACCAATGCATCACCTCTCTTTAAGAGAAGAAATCTTGCCTAATACTCAACCTGAATGTTCAGCCTACTTCCCCTCTTGCAGCCAACCCCTCTGGGAGCAGCCAGGCAGTGCTGGGAGCTCAAACACAACAGGACAAAGCAGGGATGCTTCCAGCTCCGCCAATTGATCACAATGTTGGCTGTCGTAAATTTTCACTGGGTGCTGCCAACAAGGCTGGAAATGACAGAAAGAAACCCCCCACATGCCTGCTCCTATCCCAGCCCCACTGCTTTGGCTGCTGTTATCACAGTGCTGTTATCACAGTGCATGGCTCATCCCTTTTCCCCATCTCGGGGTCCCAACATCCCCGCTGCAGGGAGGTGGAGGCAGGCCAAGGGACAATCTGTTCCTCATTGAGGTCATCCTGCAGCTCGCTGCTGATGTGGCATTTGGGGGATGGAGTGAAGGAAAAGCTTTCCTCCCTGCCTGGCCTCAGTTCAGCGCTCCTGGAAGACTGATAAAGCACGAGGCCAGCAGAGAAACCCAACTCTGATAGGTAACCCTCTGTCCAGTCCCACTCACAGCTCCCAGCCCCATGGCCACGAGCCACAGATCTCACCAGCAATGCACACCACCGAGGCTCCTAGGAATATTTTCCTCCTCAGCCTTTCTGAGGTCCTTTTCTGGTTTTGTGTCTGGCTATTTCAGACAAACTTCTCCCCTGCCCCAGGCTGGTAGCTCCCCTTCCCTACAGAGCTGCTGTGTCACTTTAATGGCCCTGTATGATTAAGTGCAGCTGCTGATTCCTGTTGGGTTCTCGGATTCTGGTGAAAAATCACAGCTGGCTGAGAGCTTTCTGTGGTTCTGCCTCTCCACCCACCCCATAGCAAGGGGAAAGCAACAGTGTACAAGCTGGGAAGCTTTGTCCTCCCCCCAGTGCATGACAGGCAAGGTGTTCTGCTAACTTCCAGGGCCCCAAAGCCTAAAGAGATTTGGCTCCAGCAGTTACTCTCCAGCCCTGAACTGATGGAGCTGCTCTCAGCTCTGCAGAGGGAATCACACACGCCCAGCTCTTGGGGCAGGGTTGCAAGAGAAAGAGAATCCCCGTCTGGGTTGAGGCCACAGCGGGGTCAGGGCAGCCCTGTCTGTGTCAGAGGGAGAAGATAAGCAGAGGGAGGCAGTGCCTGGCACGGTGCTCTGCCTGCTCACAGCTCCTGGGGTGCAGCATCCCCACGGTACAGGGGCTGCACTGATGAGAAGCTGCCCCCAGCAGTGCTGGGAAGGTTTGTGGCCTTACTGGCAGCACAGCTGGGCTTGTGGCAAGGACCTGTCATCTTCCTGCACAGAGATGCTCCTGCCAGCTGCCCTAGAAAAGCAATGCGGGGGTTTCCCTGGGCTCCCATGGGGAGAAGACAGCCCCAAGTGCATCGGGTGAGGGTTGACCCTGCTGCCCAGCCCTGGGAAACCACCCCTGGTTCATGATTCACACTGTTTGAGCACAGAGAACAGAGCCTCCTACATGCTCAGCCCGGCTGAGGTTGGACACGGGGGAGGCAGCATGTGTGGGGGTGAGTTCCCCTTCCCGGTATGAAGGAATGAGATGCAAACAGAGCTGAGTCAATGTGGGGTCAGCAGGGTGAGATCTCACATCCCTCGGCTTCCTCCCACGTCCCTGCCCAGCCCTGACCCAGCACCCGCGGGTGCTCAGCCCCCTGCCTTCCCTCTTTCTCTCTGCAGCCTTCCCCGAAACCCTTCCCTGCAATCACGTGGCGAACATGGCTTCATTTCAAGGGACAAAGTGCAGGAGTTTCTCATTAACAGGGAATGAGAGCTGCCTGCTGCGATCCAGCTGCAGGGACTGCTGGAGGAGGGAGCAGCGGCGCTGCGAGGGGGAGAAGGAGGCAGGAGGAACCCAACCACACGAAGCCCTGAGGCAGTCAGACCAAATTATCTCAGAGGTCTTTTTCAATGATTCTGTGACCCCAGAGCATCGCAGTGCTCCACAGACCTGAGCACGGCACAGAGGAGAGCAGCTTGTCCTGCCCCTTGGGGACCACAGCTGCAGTGACCCTGACTGCAGCTTACGTCCAGCAGAACTTCTGTGGACACTGTGGGGTTCCATCCCTGCAGCCCATCCTGGTGTTGGGAGCATTGCCATCCCCACGGTGTTTGGGAGCAGGAGGAAGGGAGGTGCTACTGCTGTGCTTACAGCTCCCCCACCCCCCAAAAAAGAGAAGAAACTGAGATTTGATTTCTCAGAGGGCTGCTCTCAAAAAAATTACCCGGCATTCAAAGGAAAAGGCCTCTTTTTTTTCCCCACCTACAGACTTGGCTGCAAACCTTCTCACTCCACAAGAGGAAAAAAACCCCATATTGGTAGCGAGAGCCCACTAATACCAAACAGACAGACCCACGTGGGCTGTGGTGGGGAGGAATGAAGCGGTCCTTCCTCCGGTGCCCAGGTGATGGGGGTGATGTGTGGTCGGCAGAGATGCAAAGGTTTGGAGCAGCTGCACGAAGGGAGTTGGGGAGCAGTGAGGAGCAAAGTATGGGCAAACAGCCAGAGGTGCACTGGGGTTGGGCTTGCAGAGCAGCGGGGTTTTCAGCTCAGCTTCCTCCCTTCCTCCCAGTGTGGCTTCTTCATACTGCAGGGAAAAGGAGACAAGGTGAGAGGGGATGGGTTGGATGAATGCATTGCACGGACTGGTGATAGAGACCTTGATCCTCCAGCAGGACCCCAGAGCCCTGGGGGTGAAGGGGCACATGGGGTAGAGATGGAGATTGATTGCTTGCAGTGGTGGAGAACAGGGTCTTGTAGGACAGAGGTGGATGGGCAGAAGGGAAGTGCTCAGTTTGGGCGCAGCATCATTTTCCTTCCACTGCGTTGGCTCAGCACCACAGACATCCCACCCTAGGGAACTGTGTCTGTGGTTGTTTATGGTGAAGGGAAGCAAGTTGCTTTCCTCTTACCCCCAACACACACTCACTCGCTGGCTTTCATGCAGCAAGCTAACCCAAACCCAGCTCCAACCTGCCAGCATCTGCTGCAGCTTCCCCACCTCAGGGGAGCCCCAGGCTGTGCTCCCAGCCTCTGCCTTTCCCCAGGAGGAGGTGGTGGTGCCCCCTTCCCACCTCCTGGAAGGACCTCTTGTTGAGGGTGAAGGGCAGGTTGTGAGAGACAAAGCCCTGATCCTATTGCCATGGAGATGTTAATTCAAGCTGAGTTCAAAGGAAATTGTTCCAGCTAAAGCTAACAAGCCTGCCAGGAAAGCGGGCTGTCAGTTGAAAGAGGCCAGCATCTCAGAAAGGGGGAAAGGAGGTGGGGTCAGAGAGAGGGGCTCTGCTCCAAACACAACCTCCAAGCACGCCCTGCTATTCCCTGCCTTCCAGCACCGCCGACCCCCACCATAGCACGGCCTCATCAGCAGCAAAGAGACACAGAAGATCCCAGAAGCAAGGTAAAGCAAGGGGAGAGAACCCTGCCACCAGTATGTATGCGCCGTGTGCCAGCCACTGCTCTCCTCCTGTGCAGGGCAGGGCAGCAAAGGGCACTCAGCTCAGTTTGCCAGTACAGTCATTCAGGTTTTTATAGAGTTGGTGCTATTTCAGGTGGCTTTTTTTTTTTTGAAGCTTTGCATTTGATGTAATGATTAATCCTGGCAGGTGAGACGTGTCGGCTGGTGGGAAGCTGGGCATTTATACTGACCTGGCCACTGTTTGGTATTATCAGAAGGCCCATGAGAGCAGCTGGAGGGGAGGCAGGCGTGCTCTTCCATGCACAACCACCCCTACCTGACCCCATGCCCACCTCTCTGTGCTGCCCCACGTGCAATGCACGAACCCTCTCCCACCTCTCCCTTTCCTTTCATCCTCCTCTGCTTCCAGCCTGCAGTTCTCAGCTGCAGCTCTGCTGCAAAACTGGGATAAATTTACTGAAGGACGCCAGAGATTTCCTGCAAATTAGGGGGCAAAAAAGAACGTTTTCTCTATCTTTTCCTTCTCTTTTCTCACCGCGCCTTGCCCTTCCCCCCACTTCTCCCCGCTCCCCTCCTGCTGCCTCCCTCCTGGCTCCGGGGCTGCTCAGCAGCAAGTCCGAGCACGAGGAAAGTAAGGAAAAGGGGAAGGACGGACTCAGGTTACTGCGAGCAGAGAGCGAGGAAGCGGAGGAGGGAGCCTGGGCTGCAGGCAGGGAGCAGCCGCGCTGCTCAGAGCCCTCCTCCAGGAACGGGAGCAGCACCAGGAGAAGCTCCTTTCCTGGAAAGAGCTCGAGTTTTCACCCCGAAGCAAGCTAGAGGTGGTTTTTCTTCTCGGCTTCCATCTAGAAGTTGAGTCATCATAGCAAAGTAAAGCATCTCATTCATCCTAGGAGGCCACAATGCAGATCAGTCTCCATTCGTACACACATCAACATCTCATCCCCTTTTAAATGCGGGTAGGAAATCTGGCACTCTGGCCCCGTGATCATAGAATCACATTAAAGTTGGCAAAGGCTGCTCAGAGGCCACCCCACTGTGCCCAGTGCCCACATCCCCATGGCTCTGGAACAACCCCTGGGGATGGTGACCCCCCAGTTCCCTGCATACAACGCTGAGATGACACAGACCCCTCACAAATCCCAATGTGAGGGTCAGAAATGTTTCCCTACCGCCCCTGACCAAATGGTGAGCTCTTAATTTTTTTTTCTACCAGGAACTTGGCCATTTCCTCCAAGGAAGGCTATTAAATACCCTTACCCTCCTTTCAGCCCCATTTTTCCACTTATGTTCAGTCCTTCCAAGGCAATCTTTAGACACTCCTTCATCTCTGCCCTACTCTGTCTGCAAAGCATCTCCCCTTCCTTCCTTGCCCTTTCTGTTCTGCACCCTAAGACCTTTGTGCAGGCTGTTTCAGTGCCTGTTGCAAGATTACTCACCCCAGTTTTGGCAGCCCTCACTGATTCCTCCACACACTGACCTCTGAGTGCTGCCTCCCCTCCTGACCCGCCTGTTGCTGCATCCCTTGCAGGCACCGAGAGTGCTGTTAGCATCCTTTTGAGGTGGTTTCTCAGCTCGCTGGGGCTGGAATCCTCATGGGAAGGCTCTCCCTGCCCTCAGCTCG